AACAGAATCAACGTGTTGGGTTCATGTACTGAAGGTTTCTGTTTGAGGCTACACTTCCTCCTCGTAGTCACCAAACTGGCCTGATTTCCCACTTCGGACACAGTCAACCAGGCCAAATGTCCCTTTGCAAAGCACCACAGGGCCTGGCTGGCTCTGTGGGCCTGGCTCGCTCTGTGGGGAGCCAGGCCTCCAGAGCTACAATCAGGCGACCAGGTGCTAAAGGAGGCAAAGCAACAATTGGACAACCGACAAAGTGAGCAGAAAAGAGCCAGCTTCTCAGACAGTTACTGCTGATGTTGCTGCTCTTCAGACAACTGAACAAGCACCACTGATGTGGTGCACCAGGAGCAGGAAGTGATGCAATAATGCAGCGAGCCGCCCTATCTGTCCACAAAACCTACCATGCCTCTCAATGTGAGCATACAGGAGTGTGGAGTCGATATCATAATATCTGGTTTGGATGAAGATGGAACTTCATAAATCAGTAAGCCCTGTTACAGCAACGACGCCCTGAGATTATCGGAGTGTTTGCCTTGGATTAAAAAACATTTGGCTCTTAATGCTACGGTTAGGGTGTCCACGTTTCCTTTTTAGACCTTACAGTGTGATGACTTCAGGAGGCTTCCACAGTTTCATCATCCCCTTTTTAAACTCTTTGCTCTCACTTGAGCCAATACATCTGGGACCTTCTCAGCAGATGATGTGAGGGCCTTTTCCAGCCTGTTTGGCTGCAAACACATGAAGTCGTTCCAGCTCATTGTGCACTTAGTCTCCCTGTGTGGCTCCAGTTACGTTTACAGTGTGTAGCCAGAAGTTAGTGTAGAACAGGAAGAAACAGCTGTGGTGCCTGAAACCTTCTCTCATGGCTGTCAGTTATAAAGCACATACAAGACAGATGGACTGAAGAGGGAAAGTTCAATTAAACATCATTTTCTTTAAGCTGCTTGTCGTCTTCCCTCAGCCGTTGAGGAATTCTGTTTGTCATGAATGAGTGAAGCAGTTGGTAACGGTAGCTGCTGTCTCCTCTCAGGCTGACGACACAGGAAACTCCATCTTCACGGTGCTGAGGAGGCCACAGGAGCCGGCTGCTGACCTGAGGAGGGTCAAGAGCTGTGCCATCTGTTACGGTAACGACTGATGCTCATGCCTCATCTACACTGCACACTTTTTTAGTTCGAGTTAGATGAGCTGTGTGGGATCAAAGAGAATATGAGGAAGCTTGACTTTACAGTCCTCTTAAAAATGTAAATTGCCACATCTCACTGCTCTCAGGACGTACAGCTACTGTTATTGATGCCATTATCAGCTCTGCAGCAGGTGACTGTGATAGTAGGTAGGGGTGGGACTTTATTTTGGGGGGAACAGCATGCGGCCAATCGCATATCGCTGGGAGCATACCGATATGTGACAGAAGGAAGGGGCAGCGAGTGTAGCTTCAGGCCGAGTGCACAGAGACTGGGAAACACAGGATGACACTGGAGACCGCAGAGCTGAGTGCAGAATTTTTAAAATTTGCAGCTGGCCTGGTTTTATTTTCAGCCATTTTTGCATGATGGAGAACAAAACGTTTCAACTTGTCCAGGCCTTAAACGTGATGTGTGTTCTCCCCAGCGAGTCTCACAGACCTGAATGTGCACTTGAAGCCATTTTTGATTCTAACTTGTTGGATCTGCTGCTCACCACAAACAAGCTGATGCAGTTTTA